AAGAAGAGGAAGAAGAAGAAAAAGGTAAAGATAAAATCCATGAACAATAAAGTGACAACAAATAAATACCTATCAAGTGAACCTAAAAGTTAAGTCAGAATAAACTGGTGAATATAATAGAAGCAGGGACATAGAGAAAGGGAGTGGATTGACAATTCTTGGTGAGAAGGGAGTGTGGGGGAGGGGCAGAAAGAGATTGGACAAAAATCTTATACCTATGGATGAGGACAATGGCAGGGGGTAGGGCATGGGGTGAGATGGGAGCCAGGTGGAGGGGAGATATGGGGGAAAAAAGAGGAAAATCTGTAATAATCTGAATAAAGATTTATTAATTTTAAAAAATTCTTTTTGAGTTTTGTTTTGAATGTAGAAAATTTTTAAATCTTTTTTCAGCTAGTTTGTTAGGTTTTCTATCTAATCGAGTCCACAGATATGGTTGACCTTTGTAGGTAGTAACGTAACAACATGTTCCATCCACTTTTTCTGTTGGAATTGCACTGTATAAATCTGCATCTAATGCCTTGTGACTTAGAGTTTCAGTTGCCAAAACTTTAAATGTCTGATGCTCCCTTTTGGTGGAGGACTCCTCTTTCACCTAGGTCACAAACACGCACGGCATTTTCCGCATGGAGCCCAGGCGCCTCATGGTGGGCACAACGTGCAATGCGAGTGGAAAGTGTGCCTCGGATCAGCGACGGGTCCCTGCAGGGAGAGGAGGCAGCAATCGTGCTCACGCCACACACTCCTCACGCCCAGCGGCTGCGGCCGTGACCACCTATACTGAGCGTCCGACTGTTACTTTTTAAAAGCTCACCTATAATTTTAGTTTTATTTACTATCCATATATAAAATGTGCCCAGATTTACCATTAAATAAAGCCACACATTTAAAAGTTATTTATATTTTAATAATAAAGTATATAATATAGAAGGAAATGTAAATACATACAAATTAGATTATTTATGTATATTAGTTAAATTGAAAAGCATTTAGTTGATCAACAGATACCATACTAAACCTGAAATAATTCTTCTTTGTCTGATAGTCTTGTGTAGAATTATTTCCTAGAAATGGTATTTAAGATATAAGGGAATATACACAATTATATATCCATTCTTGTCGTTCATCCATAGGCATTACATGTTGACAAACCTGCGTATAAAAATAGAGAGCTTTTACTTTCCTTTTACATATTGATATTTTGCGCTAATTTTTCAATAGGACATTTCTAGACTCTATGTAAAAAATATCCCTCTACTTATAAAATTCTATAATATTTATCCTTAGCAGGGACCTGCAATCTATAATCTGATGTCTAACAGAATAAGACAGACTAAATTCTACTTGAATAGAATTGGTGTTTGTGAAGGTAGATAAAGAAGGATGGTGGAAAGGGGAGTAAATATCCTTTTCTCATTACCTACAACATTTTATAAAATCCTCACTGGGATAACAGAAAAAAATCTCCTTTCTTTATCCTGTACTAGAATGTTCTAGGATTTCACAGAGAGTATGGAGAAAGAAAGGGTAAGAATAGAAAGCTTTTCCCTGTCTCCCTTCTTTAGACTAGTTTCAGCATCTACTGATCTGTCCCTGCCTTTGAACTCCTGGCTAAATCAGAAACCCAGAGTTCTGCTAACACTGGAACCCAGCTGTTCCTGACTTGACTTAGCTGGTTACCTAAAACTCAGAAGCATTTTCTCTTTCAGGTTACCTTGGAAAATCTAAATAATATACATAAAAGTATCGTGGACTATCAAAATTCCTAATACTATTAATACTGCTTTGTATTTGTATATGATGTTCAAAAATGCTTTCATGTACATCATTTTATCTTTACATTAACTTTGTGAAGTACCTGGAGCTGGTGATATATTAATTTTACACTTAAATAGACTGGAGCAGAAAGGGTAAGTGATTAGAACCAAGTCTCCTATCTCCTAGTATAAGATGATACTAATACAAATACCAGACTTAAAATAACTCTCCACTTCATTTTATATATACATTTATTCAAAATGTATATATAAAACTTTTCCAATTGACAAAACAGAAAGCTTTAGTTAGAAAACAATGCATTACCATTGTAGATTTGGGTGCCACTTCTACTGCAAATATGTTGAGTCCTCTGTTGTTTATGCAGTTTTTACTTAGTTCATTGTTGATGTGAATAATCACTTTATTATCTGACTATAAAAAAGATTTGATAAGTTGTTAGTTCTGTCTTTAATAACGCAGATAAATAAAACGGTAATTATAAGGCATTGTGTAAGTCTTGTGATAGAGGTATTCATAGGGTTCTATAGAAACACGGAAGACATTATAGAAATACAGAAACATTAGCTGAGACTGGGGTATCAAGGAAGACCTTATGGAAGAAGTGATACTTGAGATAATAGTTGATGGCCTCTAGGATGCATAGGAAGCAGGAAACAGCAGAATGGAGCTGAGAAGTGAGAGAAATGCAAGTCAAAGTATTCCCCTGCTATAGAACTGCAATCACTCCCTAATGGCTACTGAGGGGTAGTGTAACAGACAACCCAGATTCATTTCTCAGTCCCTCTGCTACTTACCTGTGTGGCCTTTTGCAAATTAACATCCCTGTGCTTCAGTTTCCTTGTGTGTAAAATGGGGATAGTATTTACCCCATTGAGTTGTTGTGAAAAGTAACTGTTACTATATGTTAAGTGCCTCATACACTGTGAACTCTAAACTATTAGGACTTCATTTTAGTGAAGGAAGTTTAATTTTCCTTGAGGGAAAAGGATGTAGAGGGTTGAGAAATGATAATAGCAGAGCAGAGGAAGTGGGGTAAGGTAGTGACTCCCTTCTACCCTTGTAATCCCAATAAAACATGGAGGGCAGAAAGGAAAACATGATGGATTTTCAGAATCACTTTCCAAGGTTTTTTTATTTATTTTATTTTATTATTTTATTATTTTGTTTATTATTTATTTATTTTATTTTATTTTATTTATTTTATTTTATTTTATGTATAGGGCATAATGTCACAGGAAGGCCATAGTATTCTGCCACCCGTGAGGAGTAAGCCCAAGTTGCTGTTGGATGTGTTGTGCACAGAGAAGCCATTCTTCAGGCGCTCTGCTCTCTCCACACCCATCCTTCCAAGGCTTTATGATCCATTTGAAGATTGCAATTTACTAGCTGGGGACTCTAGCTTATTTAATCAAATCCAAATTCCTTCACCTCTTTTTCAAGGTAACATATAGAGTGGGGCAAAAGTAGGGTTACCATTGTTTGTATGGAAAATAATAAAATAATCTTACCTAATAAAAGAGAAACATGCAAATTGACCATACCTTTGCTATGCCCACAAGCCACACCCACAAGCCAATCAGGAGCGAGTATGCAAATAAACCCAACCAAGATGGTGGCGGCCATGGAGCTGGAGCAAACAGGAGGCTTGGGTTGCCCCTGGCAATGGAGGAAGCCAAGCTTCCCACCTGCCCTGGCTGGCAGTGGGCTTTGCTCAAGGCTACAAAGTTTCAATTATAGAAGATAAATAAATCCCAGATACCTGCTTCCAGCCGCTGTGGCCTCCGATCAAGGAGGGTCTGGGAGCCTGGGTTGCCCGGGCTCTGGCCAGCCTGCAAACATCCCTCACCCCTCACCCAGGCTGGCCAGGCACCCCAGTGAGGACCCCCCACCCTGAAGGAGCTGTGGCCAGCCTGAAAACAGCCCTCAGCCCCTCACCCAGGATGGCCAAGCACCCTAGTGGGGCCCCCCACCCTGAAAGGGGTGTGGCCAGCCTGAAAATAGCCATCAGCCCCTCACCCAGGCTGGCCAGGCACCCCAGTGGGGATCCCCACCCTGAAGGGGGTGTGGCCAGCCTGCAAATAGCCATCAGCCTTCACCAAGGCTGGCCAGGCACCCCTGCATGACCCCCCACCCTAAGGGGGATGTGGCCAGCTTGAAAACAGTCCTCAGCCCCTCACCCAGGCTGGCCACGCCCCCCCAGCGGGGACCCTCACCTAATGGGGGCGTGGCCGGCCTGAAAACCACCACAGGCCCCTCGCCCAGGCCACCCCACGCCCCAAGGTAACCCTCACCCTGATCTGGGACACCCTTCAGGGAAAGGACAGTTGGGGACAAGCAGGCCTGCAGGAGAGGGCAGTTAGGGGTGTCCAGTCAGCAGGGACAGTTAGGGGTGACCGGGCCAGCAGGGGAGGGCAGTTGGGGGCAACCCGGCCAGCAGGGGAGGGCAGTTGGGGGTGATCAGGCTGGTAGGGGAGTAGTTAGGCATCAATCAGGCTGGCAGGGGGGTGGGTAAGGGCAATCAGGCAGGCAGGCAGGGGAGCGGTTGGGAGCCAGCAGTCCGACTTCGTCCCCAGCAGTAGAACATCCTTCGAGGAGTCCCAGATTAGAGAGGGTGCAGGCCGGGCTGAGGAATACCCCCTCCCCCATGCATGAATTTCATACACCAGGCCACTAGTTAATAAATAATAATACAAAAAATAAACTGTGTTTTGCATATTCACAACTATAACCTACCTTTGTTCTACCCCGTATAATCTGGACCCATTCTACCTATGTATTTATCTTCCTAATACTCTTCCAAACAAAGTTCTCTGTTTCTACAAAGCAGATAGTCTCACGCTTTCCGAAACACTTCATATTAACCCTTTCTCACATTTCTCCTTACACTGTTTCCCCTGCTTCTAAAGACTGCCTCTCTGCAAATCTAAATCCTAGTTATCCTTTAAATCCCACACCACCTGCTCAAATCCCACATCACAGTCCCCTTTTCTCCTCATCACAAATGCTTCCCAACTTCTATAGTCCAAACAAACATCAATTATAAGAGATACAAATATAGTAGACTATTGCACATAGCATTAGTACAGCATTATTTAACACTTAATTATTCTCAGATCTCTTTTAAGAGTATTAATTTTGTCTTTTCAACTAGACCATAAAATCCTTGAAAGCTGAGACCATTTTACACTTTCTAGTGGCCCTTACTTGACTAGGAGAGTTGGTTACATAATGTATACTACTCACATTGATTCAATACTCAGCCAAATCTTAAACCCTTTAAGAAATTTATGGCAGACATAAAAATAATGAAAATATCACCCAGGAACTAAAAAAAATAAACCAACAGTTCTAAAAAAAAAAAAGAAAAGAAAAGAAAACCCAGCCATATTGAGCAAGGGTTTATAAAAATTTATAATTTCTAGAAAACTGTGTCTTTGACTTTAAGAATGTATGCATATTTTTCTCTTGACCTGCAATATCAATATTAGCAGGGAAGATGGCCAAAGCTAGAAATAACTGGTGTAATAAAAATAGGTTATGGACAGTGGAATATTCTTAATTTGGTAAAATGATAGTCTCTAGGATTTCTGATATTGCAATGTTTGTGTAAAAAGTTAAGCAAAATTCTTTGTATTGCTTCAAAACACGATATCTATTATTTAAAATAGTTGTGTTTGAGTGAAGACTTTTATTAACTAAGTAAATTATTTTGTAGCTAAATAATGCTCTATCTGTATAAATCTCCAAACATTTGTTTTAATAATATTTTAAGAGAAAAACAATTATCTCAAGCCTTTACACTATTTTTCAAGAACCTCCACTCCAATAGAATGTTCTTTTCCACATCCTGAGAAGATGCCAGGATTCTCCTCTCTTTGCATGTTATTTCCCAGCCCTTTCCTCCCCCCACTCCCCATCCCTCAATATTTTATAGTTTAACCTGGCCCACACTGTTCACCCAGCCCAGGGAATTCCATGAGACCCAGTCCCACCTAATTTGTGGGCCCACCCAAACTGTTTCCAGTGGCTTTTCCATGCAAACAGCCTGTCTTGACTCATGCTTTAAACTCTCCAAAAACCTCTAAAAAAGCAGCATCTGGCCTTGGGGTGCCACAAACCTCTTGCTAAGTGGCCCCAGGTCTGGCACTTGTAGCAACCGGCCTTGGTTGGCAGCTTGACCTCTCATGACCACCTCCAAACTCAGCACAAGTAGCAATCATCTTCACACCACTTTGTAGCTCATGCCTGATGGCCCCGGGCACCACACAGGTGGCGGTAGACCTTGGCCTGCACTTCCCAAGAGGCCCCAGAACCACCTCCACAAGAGGAAATACTCAAGAGGAAAACTCAGTGGGTATCAGAACCCTGCAGAAGTAAGTCCTGCTCTGTGGGTTGGGCCCCTGCAGAGATGATACTTCACTCTGGTTCCAACCAGTCCTTGCAGCCAGTCAGGGTAAATCCCTCCAATTGATGGACCAACAGCAATCAAAGCTCAACTACAACAGGAGGGCATACCCAGGTGGCACACTTGGAGTGCCCAGCTCTGGTGATCAGGGAGGGAAGCTGTGCCACTAGATACTACTGAATACCTACTACATAAAGTCATTTTACCAAGCCTGAGAGACATACCAGCTCTATCTAATATGTAGAAACCAACATAGGGAGGCTGCTAAAATGAGGAGACAAAGAAACATGTCCCAAATAAAATAACAGAACAAAACTCTAGAAAAAGAACTAAACAAAACGGAGACAAGCAATCTACCAGCTGCAGAATTCAAAACACTGGTTATAAGAATTCTCAATGAACTTAGGAGAAGAGTAGATGAACTAGTGAGAACATCAACAAAGAGATAGGAAACATAAAAATGGAACTAGATAACATAAAAAAAGAACCAGTCAGAAATGAATAATACATTAACTGAAATGAAGAATACATTACAGGGGATCAACAGTGGAGTACATAAAGCAGAGGATCAAGTCAGAGATTTGGAAGATAAGAAAGCAGAAAACACCCAATCAGAACAGAAAAAAAAGGATCCAAAAATAATGAGGATAGTATAAGGAGCCTCTGGGACAACTTCAAGCATACCAACATTCACATCATGAGGTACCAGAAGGAGAACAGAGAGAGCAAGGAATTGAAAACCTATGTGAAAAAATGACAAAAAACATCCCTTGCTTGGTGAAGGAAATAGACATATAAGTCCAGGAAACACAGAGTCTCAAAGAAGAAGAACCCAAAGAGGCCCACACCAATACACATAAATTAAAATGCAAAAAGTAAAAGACAAAGAGAGAATCTTAAAAGCAGCAAGAGAAAGGCAGTTAGTTGCCCACAAGGGAGCTCCTATAAGACTGTCAGCTAATTTCTCAACAAAACTTTGCAGGCCCAAAGGAATTGGTAAGAAATATTCAGTGATGAAAAGCAAGGACCTACAACCATAATTACTCTACCCAGCAAAGCTATTATTCAGAATGGAAGGACAGATAAAAAGCTTCCCAGACAAGAAAAAGCTAAAGGAGTTCAGCTTCACTAAACCAGTATTACAAGAAATGTTAAAAAGTCTTCTTTAAGGTTGAAGCAGGGGTTGGGGGAATAGATGAAAAAGGTGAAGGAATTAAGAAATACAAATAGATAGTTACAAAACAGTCATGGGGATGTAAAGTATAGCATATGAAATATAGTCAATAATTTTGCAAAAACTATGTATGGTATCAGATGGGTACCAGATTTATCTGGGTGAAAACTTAATAGGTGATATGGTGACTAGTTATTGGGTTGTACACCTGAAACTAATGTAGTATTGTAGGTCAACAGTAATTGAAAAATTAAAAAATATTTAAAGTAAAAAATATATATTAATAAAATGCTCAAAATTATTTAAAGTTAAAAAATATTAATAACAAAATTTTGAGTATATATCTAAAATGTACATGTATTTTAATTTATATACACATACTATTATTCTAATCTATTATTGATATTGTAAAACATACATAAAAAATACATGATCTCACTCATTTATGGATAATAAACACCATTATAAACTGATGAACAAAAATAGATACAGAGGCAAAGCAGCATCGAACAGATTGTCAAACTACAGCGGGAGGGCCGGGGTGGGTTGGGGGTAGGGGAGGCCGGGGGAATGTCAAAGGGGGGGGAGGAAACATATGTAATACTCTTTGTAATACTTCAAGCAATAAAAATAGACAAAAAAAAAGAAATAAAACTTTATTCAAAACCAAAAAAAAAATGTCAGTTGAAAAGGTTGACATCAAGATGAATTGAAAAAAAAACTGCTTCTGCTTTGTCCTTGCATCCATAATACAGGTAATACTTCCAAACCAAATACACTGTTTATGTATAAGATAGATCATCCAGCTTCAAGAAGCTTGCTGAATATATTTTCCAACTTTCTGTAGTTGTTGCTGTTAGTGGAGCTGACTGAATGTACAGTCATTTACTCTGGGTTTTGCATGGAAACAAGGTCACTGTCTCCACTACTTTGCTAAAATAACATTTTTGCTGTGATAGATGGACAAACCACCATGCTGAATTTTCCTTTTAAAATTCAGACAGATCCTCTGATCTCTGTCAGTCAGTTTTCTCATTTTATAGTCTGTGTGATGCCTTAATAAAAGAGAGCTTTTATTTAAATACTAGAGGCCTGGTGCATGAAATTCATACATGGGTAGGGTTTCTAGGCCTGGCTGACAATCAGGGCCAATCGGGGCCTTCTGGCTGCCGGCCAGGGCCTCCCTTCCCCAGCTGCTGGCTGCTGGCTAGGGCCCTCCCTCATTCCATGCCGCACCCTGGTGGTCAGTGCACATCATAGCGAGCAATCGAACTACTGGTCTCCTTTTTTTTAATATTTAAGGCAAATTATTTTATACTAGAGGCCCAGTGCAAGAAATTCGTGCGTGTGTAAGTCCCTAGTGGCTGCTGGCTGGGGCCTGCCTTCATTCGGCACCGCCCCCTGGTGGTCAGCGCACGTCATAGTGAGCAATCGGTCTCCTAGTCAAACTCCTGCAGGGACAATTTGCATGATAATTTATAAATAAACTAGAGGCCCAGGGCGCAAAATTGCGTGGGACCAAGACTCCCTCCACCTTGCCATCGTGGGCGGAACCCCAGACTACCTCCGCGCATCCACTGGCGGGACTCTAGACCTGCTGAGCCCGCCAGTGGTATCCCAAACCAGCTGCGCGTGCCGGCGGGACCCTAGACTCCACCGCTGCCATGGCCATTGTGGGCCTCACGAGTTCATTTGTGCCTGAAGGCCTAGGGACCCTACCCACGCATGAATTTCGTACACCAGGCCTCTTGTTATAAATATTATTAATGTAATGGGACATTTGATTACTGTGCAAAAATAAATTAAGAAGATGGAAAATATTAGTAAACATTGCAGTCATGAGAACCATTTCATAACTGATACCTTGTTTTCAATAACAGAAGTTATCCAGGTGTCACACTTATGAGTATGTACAATAATATTTTCATAACCATCCATTACTTTGGCATCGCCTTTGTTAAGGACAGATTTGCAAATGGCCTTCTCAAGTTGCCCACTGCATGGCTCCATATGGACAGCTTTAATTCTTGGCTTGCATTTGTCTGCATAGATATCGATGACAAACGGGCATGCCTGATATATAAAAAAAAAAAGCAAACCTTATTTTAGCCTTCTGACAGAATTTAAATAAATTTATTATTAATATGTTTATCATATGATTTAAGAAGATACACTACACTTCCTAGCTTGTCCTTCTGATATGCTTTTAGAAGAAAAGTTTAGTACTATAAATTTAGTGATAAAAAAACATAAAATTCTGATTTGGGGTTAGCATATTAATGGATAATATTCACAGAAAAGGAAAGAAAACTATAACCTCTAGCAAATCAGTAACACTTCCTTGAACCATTGTACCATGCTTCCATTTGTTTTAAAGCTAACTCGTGTCATATTACTTATTTAATACCCTTTTCTAACTTTAAGGGCATACAAATAACTCATCAAAGGGCTCTAAAGGAATTATGTTTACAAATGAAACATAAGAGGTAGATAAAGAGTACTGGAAAGAACTAAATGTATAAAAACAAACCAACAGTTCAAAGTTAGTGTAAAAGCACCTTTAAAATCCAAGGCCTAAAAATGTTTGGTGCTTTTGGAAATGGATTTTTCTAATGTTTACCTTTCCGTCTTTACCACAGCCCACAAGTTGCCTTTGCCTCTCCATCCAACCCAGTCTTCTGCCTCCCTAAATTCCAGCTACTCTGATCTTTCAGGCTCTATAACAGTGATGGTGAACTTATGACACACATGTCAGAGGTGACACGTGAACTCATTTCAGAGGTGACACGTGAACTCATTTTTTTTGGTTGATTTTTCTTTGTTAAATGGCATTTAAATATATAAAATAAATATCAAAAATATAAATCTTTGTTTTACTATGGTTGCAAATATCAAAAAATTTCTATATGTGACACGGCACCAGAGTTAAGTTAGGGTTTTTCAAAATGCTGACACGCCGAGCTCAAAAGGTTTGCCATCACTGCTCTATAACAATTGAAGCTCATTCCTATGTTACAGCCTTAATACAGGGTGGGACAAAGTAGGTGTATAGTTGTGAGCACACAAGAGTGTATCCTTGTATTATTATTTATTAATTACTAGCGGACAGGTGCATGAAATTTGTGCACGGGGGAGGGGGCAGATCCCTCAGTCCGACCTGCACCCTCTCCAATCTGGGAGCCCTCAGGGGAGCCCTCTCCAATCCGGGAGTCCTGATGGCTTAGGCCCACTCCCCATGGTTCTCTGCTCTCTGTAGGGGTTGGCCGCTCCGCGCCCACTGCCCAGAGGCTCTCCGCAGCTGGGGCAGAACGCTTGCCTTGTTGCCACAGCGGGCACGCCCCCAGGACTAGGGGACTCCGGTGGGGCTGAGGGGATTGGGCATCGCCATCTTTGTGATGGAGTGGCGGTTAATTTGCATATTACCCTTTTATTAGATAGGATTGTATTATTTTCCATATGAACAACTGCAAACCTATTTTTGCTCCCCCCTCCTTCCCTATATGTAATGTTCTCTCTGCTTGGAAGATTCTTTCACATCTTTTTACATGGGTACCTCCTCCTTCTCCCTCAGGTTAAAGTTTAAGAGTTACCTCTGCAGAGAGAGCTGTTCTTATTTCCCAATCTCCTTCATTCCCCTCCTGTTCTTTACTTTGACCTCTAGCTTATTTTTTTCAAACCATTTTTGAAATGATTTTTTTGTATTTAAGTAATTATTCTCCTTGAGGAAAGAAATGTTGACTATTTTATTCATCATTGTATTCTCAGTGCCTGTTTATTAGAGGTTTATCACATACAGGCATCCAAAAAATAATTATTGAATAAGTAAGTAAATTTATACATACTGATGGTCATCTTTTTATTTGGGGGACAAAAGATAAAAGCCTGAAGTTAGTTGAGCATTGACACACATTTTTACTAAAATTAAAAATATATATCTTAATGATTCTGTCCTTCACCAATAATAAATTTATCTTTTTGTTGTTGTTGTTAATCTTCACTACCTGAGGATATTTTTTCCATTGATTTTTAGAAAGAGTGGAAGGAAAACAGGGAGGGAGGGAGGGAGAGAGGATTCATGGATTAGTAGGATAGAAATCACTAAAATGTCCATACTATAATACTGAAATGTCCAAAGCAATCTACAAATTCAACGCACTTCCCATTAAAATGAGAGAGAAACATTGATGTGAGAGAGACACACAACTGGTTGCCTCCTGCATGTGCCCGGACCAGGGCCGCGAATTGAATCTGCAACCCAAAAGGGTACATGCCCTTGACTGGAATCAAACCTGTGACCCTTTGGTGTGTGTGCCAATGCTCTAACCCCTGGGAAACATTAGCCAGGCAAACTTACCTTTTTTAAAGAAAGACAATACAATTTTAAAAATCATTGAATTAGAAGGCAGAAGACCTGGTTTGTAATATGCTTTTGCCATTTATTAGCTACATGACCTGGGGAAGTCAATTTCTATAACACTTAGTTTCTTCATTGAAAAAGTGGGATTAAATAGGATATATTCTGCCAAGGGTTGTTGCAACTACCAATATGTGATTGGGTGGTGAAAATATTTCACAATGTAGAATTCTGAAAAAGGATTATTTATAATAATTACAAAAATGATTGTGAAATTTTAAAGCTTTATTTTTTTTATTACTAAACAGATTCTGGTATTATTTTGCCATTTCCAAATCTTGGTTATCTGTTTTATTCCACCAAAGAGTGTCAATATTTAAAGATTCACAGAAAATAAAAATCTTGAAAGGTCTTTGTTGAAGATACATTCTCTAAGATTTTAAAAATAAAATCATATCTACTTAAAAAAAAAAGCTGCCCTATAACTATATTATGTTTTCTTGTTCATGGGCTTAATCTTTTATTTACCTATTCTCTTTATTCTATTAAGTTAATATAGGAATCATACAACAAGCCAGAAGACTCAAAGTAAAAGAAGTTCTGTAGCTACTAATATACTATATTACAGATATTATGGAAATACTTTAAAAGTACTATATGAGAAATACTATAAAAGCACTTTAGAAATACTATAAAAATACATTTATTACTATACTATAAACGAAAAAGGGGCTATGAAATAAACCTGACAAACTCAGGGGCCACATGATAGGTCTGACAAGCTTAGTGACTAAAAGTAACGAGCCACACAAGATCACAAATTCTTGACTGAGCAGGTCATAGCAGGTAATCATTTTCTAGGCCTATAGCTCCCTTACATTACCTTAAGTGAGCTCTGTCCATTGTTCTTTTTTTTGGAAGGGACATTTTTAAATTGAGATATTATAAACATATAACGTTATATTAATAACATATAATATGTTATATGAAAATATAACATAAGTATATAACATTATATTAACATGATATTAATTTCAGGTATACAACATACTGATTTAATATATGTGTATATTGAAAAATGATCACCACAATAAGTCTAATAAACACCCATCATGACACATAGTTCCATTTGCAATAACACTGATGGAACTTAAGGGCATTATATGAGAGAAATAAGTCACACTGAGAAATACAAATAAAGCATGATCTCATTTATATGTGAAATATTAAAAAAAACACACACACAACCTCATGGATACACAAAGAACAGATTCGTATTTGCTGGAGGTGGGGGGTGGAGGGTGAATGAAAAAATGGGTTGAAGGTGGTCAAAAGGTATAAACCTCCAGTTAAAGAATAAATCTCTTGGGGATGTAATATACAGCATGATTACTATAGTTAACAATACTATTTTGTGTGTTTGAAAGTTGCTAAGAGAATAGATCTTAGAAGTTTTCATCACAAGAAAAAAACTGTAACAATGTGTTCATTGTTCTTATGCATCTAGGATAGCATACCTTTGAAATGTCAGAGTGATTTTCTTTTCTAGACCCCTCAAAGACAAAACCACAGGAACCAGAGCATGATCCACAAAACTCTTCCTTGCTATCTTGTCCCCTAAATTCCATCACTATCTACTATAAATGTTAAATATTAACTATCCTGTTCCCACCAATGTAAAAGATGTATGTCTCTCCATTTTGCTTTTTATCCAATCCCAGAGATTTCTTGGCTTTGCTTTCTTCTGCACCCTTAATCTACCACCAAAGGATTTCATGTAACCCTCCTTATTACTTTTCCTTTTATTCTAATGTATAAAATAAACTGCAAACTGCCATTCTCCAGAGCATTTTCTCAATCTGTTAAGATTTTGCTCCTGGGCATTTTTTTAAAATTTGGCTCCAATAAACTTTTATATGATTTTTCTATAGACTGGATGTTCTTTTGCTGAAAAAACTAAACAGATTACTTTGACTAAAATCCTTATATAAAACAACAACAACAATATAAAATAAATCTATGGAGAAGTTCAAGAATTCCAATCATAGATACACAAAACGTGGTCTGCGAAATTCTGAAAAGAAACACTGGGTACAATCAGATTTTAATACACATGTGGCCCCAGAATGGCCATCTGGACACTAGATAAAATCCTCCATGAAACGGCTCATTCCAATAAAGATAAATAAGCTATAATATTAAACACTAAGGAAACTTTCCTAGGATAATGAAGGATATGGTTAGTCCATGCTTTATCTATCCTATATAATAAAAGGCTAATATGCAAATTGTCCCCTCAGGAGTTCAGCCAACTAGGAGTTCAACCGCTTGCTATGACATGCGCTGACCATCAGGGGGTGGCGCGGAATGAAGGAAGGCCCTGGCCAGCAGCTGGCAGTCGGGGGAAGGAAGGCCCCGATCAGCCCTAATGGCTGGCCAGGCCTAGGGAACCAACCTGTGCATGAATTCCATGCACCGGGCCTCTAGTATATAAATAACCTGGAAAACTATGGTACATGAACTGAGCAAATGTTCTAAAAGACTCTGAGCATTTCGAAACTGATTTTATATAGTAGGTTCTCCCTTTTTGCTATATGAATATGTACTACTACTTATTTTCAGTGTATTTATTTTCAGAATGGGTCAAAATATTTCCCTATTGAAAAGCCACAATCATCATCACTGCCTAGGACATTCCAAATTATTGGTTCTGTGATGAAAGACACATTTAACTGGAATAATAATTCATGAATTTTGAGTATGTAAGGGTTTACTCCTTACACAAAAACATGTTTGTCTTTATCATTCCCAAACCTGTAGAAAAATAAAAAGGGCCATAAAATAACTGGAAAGGTACATCCTTTAAATATCTTAAAGGGAGGTTCTCTACGCAGCCTCTAAAAGCAGAGTCCATAGAATTAACCTAGAACTCTTGAACAAGGACATGATCATTAAGTAAGCAGCTTCTGCTCAAGACCATGGGAACATAGGTTGCACCCTTTTTTAAAAAATATATTTTATTGATTTTTTACAGAGAGGAAGGGAGAGAGATAGAGAGCTAGAAACATCGATGAGAGAGAAACATCGATCAGCTGCCTCCTGCACATCTCCTACTGGGGATGTGCCCGCAACCCAGGTACATGCCCTTGACCGGAATCAAACCTGGGACCCTTCAGTCCGCAGGCCGACGCTCTATCCACGGAGCCAAACCGGTTTCAGCAGGTTGCACCCTTTACAGATTTAATAGTGTGCATGTCTGACTGTGACCTATCATATTCTCCTTATTAGTAATAATAACCTGCCTAAATCTAGGTTTTAAGGAAAATGTGTTTGAGTTATGAGAAGTACAAACTGTAACACCATGAAACAATACACCTACAGTTCCATTAAGGATAATTACATCTCTTGTGCAAGTAATGTGGAAATCAGACTATTTAATGCCAACCCTGAACCAAGATTAATTTTTGTGTACACCTATTAGCTAGGCCATCCCAAGAGTATGACTCTCCAACACCCTCAATGAATTATGTTTCCTTACACTCCCAAAGAATAAAATTTTTCTGGAAAAAGATTCCGAAATATAGTGATCCTATTCATAGTAGTTACACTACTCTAGGTAGTCATAAAAAAATTTTTCCCTAACTATAGCCTGGTGTGTGTGTCTCAGTTGGTTGCCAGTGTGTGATACCATGCACCAGGAGATCTCCTGTCGGATTCCCCCTCAGGGTACTTGCTCAATAGGGAGTGTACAGAAGGCAGCCGATAGATATTTCTCTCTCATTGATGTTTCTATCTCTCTCTCCCTCTCCTTTCCTCTCTCTGAAATCAATAAAAACATATTTTTCTTTTCAAAAAGAGCTAATTATAAAATGTTATACCAAGAAGACTCCGGAGGTCCTTGGATCTTATCTTGGCCAAACTTGGAAAATCTAGGGTCATGATTCTGGAGTGCCCTCCAGTCCCTTCTTATAATACTCCTAGTTATACTTTTTTGTGTCAGAGTTTAAATGTTGTCCAGTGTCTTAAAATGCTTCTGTATAGTATTGTCCCAACAGATGACTTAAAGACAAAAGCAGGATGAAATCATGATAAATGCACAAACTGTAAATCAGATCCCCACAGATGAAACGATTAAAAAAAAAATCAACAACAGTGTTGGGGAAATCTTTGATAACTTCTTCCACAGCATTAGCTGGATGAAAATCAAAAGGGGAGGCTGGGATTAAAAAATTCCTACAAACATATGAAAACAAAACAAAACACAATTATTGTGTTTTCATGGTAATGGATAGTCACCAGAACTGGTTTAAACCTGTTCAACTGATCTGCAACAAGTCACCTCAATGAACACAGTTTTGTAAGCCAACTGGTGTCAGCTCCTCACCTTTGAAAGTCAAGCAGTCAGAGACAGATTCATCTCAATAAATACACAGCCGAGTGCCAAACAATCAACCTGAGTAACCATGCTTCCCCCAAATCCTATAACAAAATGAGAATTCTGCTCTGTGTGGAGAGGACGCAACTAACCACATAGCTCTCCCTTACAGTAAGCAATCAATTCTGTTTTGCCTTTTTATTTCACTTACTGAGGGGCCGTCTCATCATCCTTTGAATTTCCACTTTATATATATTTTTACCTTTTGAATTTCCAATGATGTGAATATATTATATAGTAAATAAATGAGTAAACTTTAAGTTTAAAAAGTTTTATCTCAAAAATCCTTTTTGCCTATGATTTCAAAGGTCAATGACATCAGTAAATGCTATAAAATATTTTAAATTACTCTTAACTAATTTCTCTATTAAGTGAAAACATGTACAACAGATGCAATATTATTCATAGATTAGATTCTGATTTTGTAACATGGTTAAAATGTGGGGTTCAGTGAATGTTAGATTAAAGTACATACAATGGAGTCAGGATAGTCTCTTCAATAAATGTTGTTGGGAAAATTGGACAGATACATGCAAGAAAATGAAACTAGACCACCAACTTACACCATACACAAAAATAAACTCAAAATGGATAAAGAACTTAAATATACGACAGGAAACCATACAAATTCTAGAAGAATCCAAAGGTAACAAAATCTCAGACATCTGCCGAAGCAATTTCTTCACTGATACAGCTCCTAGGACACTTGAAACTAAAGAGAAAATAAACAAATGGGACTACATCAAAATAAAAAGCTTCTGCACAGCAAAAGAAACCATCAACAAAACAGCAAGAAAGCCCACTGCATGAGAGAACATATCTACCAATGTTATCTCCTTTTTAATGTGGTAAAATATACAGAAGAACATAAACTTACTATTGAAACCATTCTTATGTGTACAGTTCAGTGGCATTAAGTACATTCCCATTGTTGTAAAACCATCACCACCATCCATTTGCAGAACCTTTTCATCATTCTAAACTGAAACTATATATCCATTATACAATAACCCCCCAATTCCTGGTGACCCCCATTCTACTTTATGTCTCTATAAATTTGCCTACTCCAGCGGTATCATTCAGTATTTGCCCTTTTGTGACTGCTTATTGTGCTTAGTATAATGTCTATAAGGTTCATCCTTGTTGTAATACATGTAAAATTTCATTCCTTTTAAAGGCTAAATAATATCCCAGTGTCTGTATGAACATGAATATGTATCTTTTAATATGGGAATAACGTTGCTATAAACATGGGTGTACAAATGTCTGTTTCAATCCTGCTTTCAGTTCTTTTAAGTATATACTAGGAGTAATATTATTGGGTCATATCATAATTCTATGTTTGAGATCAACCAAAGGACTTGTATGCATGCATATAAGCATAACCAATGGACATAAGACACTGGGGGATAGGGGAGGCTAGGGGACTGTCAAGGGCGGGGGGAAAAAAGGACACATATGTAATACTCTTTGTAATACTTTAAGCAATAAAAAAAAGTGACTGTAATTATTAACCTCCTATCTACACTAATAAAAGAGAAACATGCAAATTAGTGTCACTCCACTATGCCCACCAGCCAATCAGAGTGACTATGCAAATTAATCCAACAAAGATGGTGGTTAATTTGCATACATAGGCACAGAGCGAAGACTGAAGGCTCCAGCCGGAGCGAAGACTGAAGACTGAAGACTGAAGACTGAAGAGGCTTGGGTTCTCCGCTGCAGCTGCAGCGAAGAAGCCAAGCCTTGCTGCAGCCGCAGCATCGAAGCCAAGCCTCGCTGCAGCCAGAGGGGAGAATCCAAGCCTCACTTCAGCCAGAGGGGAGAAGCCAAGCCTTGCTGTGGCCAGACCAAAGGCCTGGGTCCTGGGGGCTGGAGGAAAACCGGTGCCGGCAGCCAGGGGAAGGAAGGCCTATTGCACGAATCTCTTTGTGCAACGGGCCTCTAGTCTATAATAATAAAAGAACAATATGCTAATTAGACCAGACATCCTCCAGGACAAAGCTGGAGTGGCAAGGGAAGCCCAGGTCCCGTTACCTGCTGGCGGCCAGAAGGAAGCCCAGGTCCTGGGTGCCAGAGCTGGCAGCCAGGGGAAGGAAGGCCTACTCTTGCATAAATTTCATGCATCATGCCTCTAGTTATTCATAACAACAAAAAAGTATAGAAAACTTTTCAGAAAACAGGTTTATGAGGGATTTTGAATAATATCAAAACTAAGAATTAAACCAAAGTCTCAATACACTCAAAATTCAAAATTTGTTGGTGCTAAGGTTGCCCTAAGACGATTTATATATAGAAAGAACATAAACTATTTTTAATTTTAAGAATATAAACAAAACTAGTTATCTAATTTGTGGCCTGAAACTCATAATTTTTTTATTTTAAACCTAACACAAAAATATAGAACTTAAGAAGTAAGACTTAGCCCTAGCTGGTTTGGCTCATTGGATAGAACATCCACCTGCAAACTGAAGGGTCTCAGGTTTGATTCTGGCCAATCGCACATGCCCCGACTGTGGGCTTGATCCCCCGTAGGGGGTGTGCAGGAGGCAGTCGATCAGCAATTCTCTCTCATCATTGATGTTTCTATCTCTTTCTCCCTCTCTCTTCCTCTCTGAAATCAATAAAATATATATATATATTAATTTTTAAAAAAGTAGGGCCTAATTTGTATTATTCCTTTGGATTATTACAAGTCTTATTCAACTTCTGTACCTATCATGTTAATAAATAATAATGATAGCTAACACATACACAGTGCTTTAAATAAGTGAAGCACTGCCAAAGAAGCAACTTTTGTCAAAAAATCAGAATTCCAGTTTTCATACAGACACATTCTCCTTATTCTGAGCCTTTTTTCTGTTGGGACAGAGTTTCCCCATGGAAATGAGACTTTAGCAACTTAAATAGCCATTACCAATTGAGAAATATAATTTTTTTATTAAATCATATGTTCAAACTCCTTTGTTCCTGAATGGTTGTAGTAACTAAATTTCAGCTCAAAACAGGAATTTTCATAAACTAGCAAAATGGGCTGTTGCACCCAGGATTCATTCATATGCTAAAGTTCAAGAATTTCAGTGCCCAATTTAGAAGTCATGTATCGGGAAAATGTTCATGGGGCAAAATATTATGTACATTAAAACCACAATAAAATTTTCAGATTGCTTTACCTCTGTTAATTCCAGAGCTTTATTGTAGCCCATTGAGAGCAGAGTTACCCAAAGGTCACGAGGATCTCCTTCACGATCATTAGCTTCCATTAGATTCAGATCCATAAAGCCCTGTCTTGTTAGTTCATTCTTCTTTGTATCAAAATTCTCTGTCAAAACAACCAAAAGTTCTTCCTTATATGATATAAATTTCATACATTTAATAAAAAGTCTATCTTTTGGTATTCATAAATGTTTATTTTAAAGGAGACCTTATGCATCCGTGAGCCATGTTTGAAAGTGGAATGACTCAAAACATGCTTGAGTCCTGGCCGGGTAACTCAGTTGGTGAGCATTGTCCCAATATGCCAAGTTTGTGGGTTCAATCTCTGATCAGGACACATACAAGAATCAACTAGTGAATGCATAAATAAGTAGAACAACAAATTGATGTTTCTCTTTCTCTCCCTTCCTCTCGAAAAAAGAAGGAATGTAAGAAAGAAGTGGAAAAGTGCGTAAGGAACACTGGTTGCTTTGCTAGGCACAAAACAGTTAATATTACAAGCTGGTCAAAAGAGGGAAGAAAGGAGGGAGGGAGGGAGGGAGGGAGGGAGAAGACAACTGTTTAAAAAAAAACATGATTGAGTCTAATTTCCCATAATTCAGCATAACCATCACAATGCATGCTTTAGTTTTTAAACAAACTCTGAAGTTATAAATAATGCAAATATATTCCAAAATTAAAGGAAATTATAATATTGGGTAAATTCTAACCTGCCTGCTTATGTAGAGCAGATACTATTATATATTTCAAAAAAAATTAAAATGCTTCATATATATTTGCTACTTAAAATCAGCAGAACTTGGATGGATTTGATATAATAACTCCCAAACTACTGGTGTTTCAAAAAGGGAGGTGAGGATATGCCAGATTTAAGGAGACTGCTATATGCCTAATTACTCTAATTTTAGCCGAATTGTCCCCGTAAAAAACTGTTAGATAACAGGAAACACTTTGGAATTCATGAATGTCCCAGACAAATATAAGTATGTCCATTTAAATATTATTTGCAAGCAAAACTAAATCCACCTAGAAGTACCTAAATATGTGTAATTCCTGAATTTATCTATAATATAGATAACAAACAGGTACTCATTATGGATTATATTCTGTTAATTGCCCTAGCAACAAGAAAGATTCCATTTTCCAACTCTTATCTCTAATATACCCAAGGCAAATGGGTACTCTTATTTGAGATATCCCTTTTGTATGCATTATAGTAAGAAAAGAATCAGAGACATGACTGTTTAAAAGTGGATGACTGAATAATAGTTTAAAATATTTAGAGTTTGGAAAATGACTCATAACTTTTATAAGAAAAAAAATAAATGAAGATCAAATTTGATCATAGAAATGGTAGCCACTAAAATGGAGGTTGGAGCTACTTATGCAGTAAAGCAAAATGAAAAATATTAATATTTGATTATAATCCAAAGAAATTATTACTTTCAAAAATGTACCCAGATACTGTACTATAACGACTATTAATAACTAATCTACTTTTAAAACTTAAAATTATCAATCCTCCATTAAATTTTTAAAAATGTATTAATATCCCCAACCTTAAGACTTACTTTAAAGCTACAATAATCAAGATAGTGTGATAATGGCAAAAAATTAAACACAATGACCAGTGGACTTCAGATCTCAGAAATAGAACCATACAAATATATGCAATGTTTGACAAAGGAGCAAAGTCAGTTCAATGGAGAAAGGATAGTCTTCTCAAAAAGTGGTGCTGAACCAACAGGACATCAATATGGAAAAATATATAATTCTAGACAAGGATCTTACATCTTTCACAAAAATGAATTAAAATGGACCATAGACCCAAAAGGGTCATAGTCTCAAAACACAAGTCTATAAAACTTCAAGATAACAGGAGAAAATCTGAGTGAACTTGTGTATATCTATGAGTTTTTAGCTACAACACCAAATGTATGATCCATGAAAAAAAAATTGATAAGTGGAACTTCACTAAAATTAAAATCTTCTGCCCTGTGAAGGACACTATTAAGAGAATGAAAATATAAGCCACAGATTGGGAGAATATACTTGTAAAACATATTGTATCCAACATATACTAAGAACTCAACAATAAGAAAACAAATATCTTAATTAAAAAATGGACAAAAAATCTGGACCCCTCACCAAAGAAAATATGCAGATGGCAAAGAAGCATATGAAAGATACTCGATGTTATATTTCATTAAGGAACTGCAAAATAAAACAACAATGAAATACCACTACACACATATTAGAATGGCTAAATCAAAAAAACTGACAGTACCAAATGTTGTATGGTGCAACAGGATTCATTGCTGGTGGGAATGCAAATGATACAGTCACTTTGGAAGACAATTTGACAGTTTTTTCAAAGTTAAACACAGGTTTACTATGCCATACAGCAATACCATTTCCTTGCTATACCATTCATTAACTGCAACGATTGAAATGAGTTGAAAATTATGTACACACAAAAATCTGCGCATTGATTATTTATAACAGCTATATTCATTATTGCCAAAAACTGGAAGTAATCACGATGTCCTTTAATAGGTAAATAAGCAAACTGTGGTACTTTCAAACAACAAAATATAATTCAGCGCTAAAAAGAAATGAACTATCAAGCCTTGATCAAGGAAACTAAATGCTTATTGCGAAGTGAAAGAGGACAGTCTGAAAAGGCTATGGATTGTATGACATTCTAACAAGACATACTCTGGAAGAGGCAAAACTATAGAGACAGTAAAAAAATCAGTGGTGCCAAAAGTCTGGAGGGAGGAATAGGTAGATAAATAGGTACAGAGGATTTTTAGGGCAATGAAATGATTCTTTATGATTCTGTAATGCCAGATACATGAAATTATATATTTGTCAAAGTCCAAACAATTGTACAACATAATATAATCCTAATATACACTATGGATTTTAGTTAATAATGACATATCATTATCAATTTTAACAAATGTACTATACTACCATACTAATTAATACAACATGTTTATAATAGGGAGAATGGGGGGGGGAGAAAGGATACATGGGATTATCTATTTAATCTTTACTATAAACCTAAAACTTCTCTAGAAATAAAATAAAGGCACATTTAAGTCTAACAAGAGTTTATTAAAATGATCTTATAGATAAATAATGTTTTCTTATTATCAAGGAAAATGATAAAATTAATATTATATGTGATTAAAAATATAAACATTTCAGGACTTAAAAAACCTGTTTCTTTGTACTATTATTAATATTGGTAAAGGAGACATTCCCCCCAAATCACTTTTTAAGTCAACCATTCTTGGGTATTTTTTTATAGAATGGTGCTTAAGGTTCTGGAGTCTGCCTGCCTAGGTTTGAAATTCAGCTGTGAAATTTTTTGCTGTCTAACCATGCTCAAGGGACTTATCCTCTTTTATTCTGATTCCTTATTTGTAAAATGAGAATAATAGCACATATCTCAGAGAGTTGATATGTAGAAGTGCTTCCACCTAGTACATAAGTTCTCAAAAAAGGTTAACTATCAACTCTACCAATTTAATTAAATTATTGAACAAATTATACTTATCAACAACTTTATAGTAAGAAAATCCTAATTATGAATCACTTTTATGGACTATGCTCTAGTGCAGTGATGGCGAACCTTATGAGCTAGGCGTGCCAGCATTTTGAAAAACCCTAACTTAACTCTAGTACTGTGTCACATATAGAAATTTTTTGATATTTGCAACCATAGTAAACCAAGGATTTATATTTTTGATATTTATTTTATCTATTGAAATGCCATTTAACAAAGAAAAATCAACCAAA